ACTTGAGTTATTTTGAGATGTAAAAAAGAGGTTCCCATTATATATTGAGTGGTGTAGAAAAAATGGTAGGGTGAACTGTCCAACAATGAACCAATTTTCATCTGAAGTGTCAGTGCTTATTCATTTTCATGAAAATACCAAAGGAAAAATATCGAATGAAGTGTCCTAAGTTTCGACACGTTATGTCTATGATGATTTGTGAACTCATAGAATTTTTTATTACAGTTTTTAATTTTTTTTCAAAATATGACATATAGTTCACTGTGTACGATGATGTGGATACAGTGAACCACCATCCAGTAAACAGTGAATCATAGTTCGTAGCTCAAATGAAACGATAAATTATAACTTTTTTATAACTTCACATACAAGTTAAAATAGAAGACTTCTGATATACGTACTCGACGCAAGTACTAAATTGGTTGAATACTATCAAAAATAAACTTCTAAAAAAGTGGAAACAAAAACGGAATATTATTTCGAATCAAAATTAAGAAGGGCCTCCTTGAAGTTATATTTCGAAAATAATTGACTTTTTTTCACATTTGGAAAATATAAAAGAGTTGACATAGAGACGAGGCAAATTGAATTTCAAGAGCTAGCGTATATTGAAACCGGAGAAGTAAGTCTATGTTGACAGAGTAGAAGGAATTGTTGCACCTGGAAGTGGAACCATGGTCCAATGGTTTTTGTCCATCTCATTGTTGCAGTCCTCACTAATGTACTTGCAGCCATGAGCGTATCATTGATCTGTGAATTATACAGCGTGAATTGTACGTTTTACAGTTAAGTTAGTCAGCAATCGACGTGTTGTGATAACAATTGGTGAAAATAATAGTGCTAATAAGTGTTTAAGCGTTACATAATTATATTTCTACACCGTTCTCAAACTACTCAAAAAATGGGAGACATGGTCGGGCCTTCCACGTCGAAAAAGGTAAAACNTAATGAAATAAATAAAAAATGTGTATGAATATTTTAACTAATTGTACTAAGAATTTTTCTTTCATTCTCAACCCTCTCAAAAATTAATAAGCACGCCCCCGAATTGCTGTCAACTGGGCTTACTTCTACTCTCAATCATTATTGGTTTTAGTATAATAGGTTGAAGGATAGTCCGATGGTAGACACTTCAACCACGGCAATCATTTTGAGTTTTATGTAAGCAACTGTGCAGTGTACTTGACTGATCCACTGTGGGACACGGTTCACTGTTGGACAGTCTACCCTACACATATTTTGATAAAAATAAGGTAAAGAAAAATATTTCACAGAAGGTGAACTAACCAAGGTGGTATAGTTGGAGGCCAATCTTCTATCTGACCTGTGTTTAAATTCACTAATTAATTTGTGAATAATAGATGGTTGATAACCATTGTTGACAGCAATCTGTTTCAATGTATTTAATTCTAAAAACTGATTGCTGTCAACAAATTGATTAGTTAATTTAAACACAGGTCAACTCTACCACCTCTACCACCTACCAACTCTACCAAAAACCTCTTCGATTCATTCATGCATTCAATAAGTGTATTCAGCTTCCCAAATCTATTTTATATCCCAATACCAAACAGTTATTTTTAACACCTCGACACGTATTTTGATCACCAAGTGATCATCTTCAAGAGGAATTTTAACCGAATTATATATACAGTATGGTCTTATTTATACCATAGATACCTCTGCTAGGAACCTGTGTCTTAAATGTTCTCAAATTAATTTTTCAATGTTACCTCATCTAATTAATTCAAGACTAGAAGATGAGGCAACATTGTGAAATTAATTTAAGACACTTAAGACGCAGGTACCTAGCAGAAGTATCTATGGTATAAATAAGGACAATATTGTATGTATATTCAGCTCAATCTTCCTCTTGAAGATGATCACATGGTGATCGAAACACGTGTCGAGGTGTTAAAAATAACGGTTTGGTATTGGGATAAAACTCCAGTAATACAGATTTCATACATATACTTAAGTTTCCATCCTTTACGTGCATAGCGCAAAATTTCCATATCGTTTAGATTCGGGTGGATTGAAAAGAAAATTAGATAACCTGGCATGTGGCCTGAATGCCACTTCCACATTGTTTTATCTGAGAAGAACCGCAACCAAGAAATGTTAATCCTTCAGACTAGGTAAACATGATTCGACATTTTCATACCATTCCTTGGAATGCAACCACAAGTTCCCGAATCTAAACGATACGGAAATTATGCACTATGCAAATTCATAAGCAGGAGAATGGCGGATATAACCTGCCAAATGACCAAATCGACCGAGTTGATTCGCCAGTTTTCTGGTAAACAAAATCAAGGTACTCAGTTAAGTTATCACAGTGGTATATAGATATATAAGGGTTAACATTGTTAATTATTTTATCTCATTTTATACGTTCAAAAATGTCCTTATTTTGTATTCATGTTTTCATCAATATATCGAAGGAGATTGCAGATATNTCATAGGCTTTAGATAAATCCAAGAAAATGCCTAACAATAAATGGTTATTTTCAAATGACTACTATTTTTTTCCGTAAATTGCATAATGGCTGTCTCTACTGATTTTTCCTTGATGTATCCATGCTGAATATTATTAATTATTTTACACTTATTTAGGAAGTTCATCAATCGGTCGCACATCGCCATTTCAAACAATTTTGAAAAGGCTGGTAATACACTAATTGGTCTAAAATTTTCTAACAACTCACAATCACCTTTTTTGTGTACAGGAGAAATTAGTGCGATTTTCAGTTTTTGTGGAAATATCCCAAATTTAAATGAATTGTTCATTATAAAGCATATTACTACTGACTGTTTGCAGAGAGTATTTAACAATACTTGCTGGAATATCGTCAACACCACAAGTGTGCTTATTTTTCAGTCTGTGTCCTAAGCTAATAATTTCATTTATATTGATTGGGATAACAAGCATTGATTGAGTGTTGTTTGAAATATCACAGCAACACTTTTGAGAGTTCAAGTTGTTAATTAATTGTGGAATAATTTGTACTAAAAAATCATTATAGTTATTTGCAATTTTCTCAGGATCCCCTTGTGAATGTGCATTGTTTCTTTTGTTTTTTCCAGTTACTTCATTATGAATATGCCACATTGTTTTCATTTTGTTATCAGATGCTACTATAAGCTAGTATATTCTTTTATTAACAAGCTCTTGAAAGGAGAAGGTAAATAATACTCATCAATTCATAACATTACACAAATTATGTGATGCAAAAGCTTCTCCAGGTGATCAACCTATTTGATGAAAATAAAACAATTTTTTTCAGAATGAGATGATCAATGTTCCATCACATATTTCAGTCATAAAGAAAATGTACATATGGTATCTTATAACTAACGTCAACATGACGATTATATAAACATTACTTCATCATTTCTGTGATTATGTATTTACGAAACAAATTGTTCTGAACTATTTTTGTCTATCTCCACGTCTATCTTATCTCTCATGAAAATCCTCATATGACCCTCATATGACCGAAGTTTTGTGAACTGAACTGAACTGAATGCGTATCTTGCTACATTCTTGGCTCTATACTCTTCCGGCGTGATAAATAATTTCCTAATTCTTTGAAATTTTCCCTTCTGTACATCTCTAAGAAGCAGTCAATATTCCGCTGACTTCATTGAAGTCTCTTTGAAACCAGCGAGTTTCACATTGGAATTAAATTTTCGGATGATGTGATTTTATTGGAGTTTCCATGACTGAGTGCAGATTTTCACCGTAAATTTAATATGATCGTTGATATATTCGGAAATTCTGGATTATTCGAAACAACAATGACATGTTTCAAATGTTGCAAATTCAATACATATTATTCAAAGTATTGACAATGGAATGAGAATGGAATAAAAATGGAATGAGAATAGAATGGAATCTTGAGAATGGAAAATAAAAAAAATTTAGAGCCGAACTTTTCGAGAGAGTTCTGGAAAACTTTGTTCTAGATGGAAAAATCATATAGGTATATTGATAAAAAAAAAGAAANAAATATCACGTGTAACATTTCAAAATGACAATCAAGAATTCATAATTTATGAGTCGCTTCATGAATGATCCAAATAATCATTATTTTTCACATTTCAGAAATAAGGTCTTCGCCATGGACTTGTAATAACGTCTTTTTGTATCAGTAGGTAATAACTACCAATTTCAAATAAATATTCGGTATTTTTTTCCCGAAATGATGTCTTCGAAATGGTCTTGTAATAACGTCATTTCATGTCACCATTAGCTTCCATATTCAACTGTTTGTTCATTTTCATGTTATTATAATATAAAAATGTAATTTTATATTTCGTCACCAATTTATTAAACGAAATGTAGCTGCTTGTTGATCATCCATCATCCTAAACAAAATGATTTGATATGAGACATATTTATGATATTCAATATTTTACCAAATATCTCAATCACGGTAAGAATGTAAATATCATGTCTCATAACAACGTCATCAAGATGACGATCATATATACATAATTCATGAATAATTTATGGAATCCTTTCATTGGAAACTTATTTGTTCAGAACTATATTGATCTATCTGTATATATTTCACGAAACCGATAACTGGCCTTAAAGAACGAGTCGTCAAGCATCAAAATGAGTAGGCATGAACGTCTCTTCTTGAGAAGTCTCCATTCATGAATGAAATTTCTTAGATGAGAAAGACAGAAGTGATTTCCTGTTCAGGGTTGGTTTCGCAAAAACCGTTTGGAAGACCCTTGTTTATCTAAGATAAGTAAGGTGTCATACTTGTCCTTCGAAGACAATGCATTCGTGGTTCAGCCTAGCACCATTAACCAGACGATGGAAATAGCACTGTCTTTTGTCTGAAGTCACAAATTGTTTATTGGGTTCTGGTTCCATCTAATCGACCCTGAGATTTTCACCTCCTTTCGAAACACGACGTTACTGATTATTATTGTAGAGCATCCTGTTATAAGGACATTGATCAACTATTATTTCATTGTTCCAGGTGCTGGATAAAAGATTCTAGATTCGAAATCATCCATCAAATTCCCGTAGCCGCCACAATTATTTTGAATCTATTTTTCCTCATCAACATTGTACGAGTTGTCGTTGTGAAACTGAGAAGAGGTCCTGCTAACGATGGATCTGGAACCGGAGCATCTAGGTCGTCGCTACAAGCATTAAGGTATGTACAAATTGGAGTATAGTTAACAAAATTTGTCTCTTGTATAAACATTGGGTTAGGTTAGGTTGGGTTAAGTCTAAAGTACGCCGCTCAAGAATTTGGTGCAAGTCAGTGTCATAAGGTACTCCGTTCTTGAGGACACGACTCAGTCGTTTCCTGGCTGCACCACCAAACTATTTTTCAGGTTCAGCTATTGGATCAGGAGTTGGAGGATTGAGAAGCTCTCGCTCCTGATCTAAATTTACAGGGAGGTCAGTTGGAGTCGGAAGCTCGACATCCATCACCTCTGTAGACTCAGCGTCAGAAAAAAATTTTGAGTTTACTCTGTCCATAAAAGTCTCACCAGTAGCTATGGAAAGAAGGTCAATCACGGCAGAGCCCGCATTACCGTGACAAGGCGATGTTACGACGAGAGGGCGCCCGGTATCTTGAAGATTCCGTAGAGACGGCTGATAGGCTGGTGTCATTCATCCTCCCGGCACGGATACACACACCTCAGGATTAAGCCATCGTTGGGATGCCATTCAGTTAGAAAATAACAGAACCACAAGGGATTCTGTCATTACTTTGATAAATTCAATAGCGGGTGCAAAAATAAACTCAGGAAGTTTCATATTCATACACACAATTTCAATCACTGTCACTGTTCTAATCAAGTTGAATCAATCGAATCAAATATTCAAATATGAATGTGACTAAATATTAAAACTCAGCATGAATGCACAGGTTAGATTTGATATTATGATAAAGAAGTGGAAATTAACAATGATCAATTTTGAAGTATTTGAAATAAGCTTATTTCTTTGGCACGAGGTACTGAACTGATCAATAATGAGTTCAAATTTGCTGATGAGTTTCTCAGCATTATTGCCTGCTATAGTTATCGTTGTATCACCAGCAAACATTGTGTGTATATGTTGAGGAAAATCATTGACATAGCGAAGAAACAGTAGAGGTCCTAGAACAGAGCCTTGTGGCATCCCGAGTTTCACCGTCTTTGACTTAGATGTCGATCCATTGCAGATTACAACCATTTCTCTGTTTTTCATATAGGATTGTATCCAATTTATGACATTTCGTGGAAACCCGAGCATTGCTAGTTTTTTGATGAGAAATCCGAGCACACTGTATCAAACACTTTTGATGAATGAAAAATAGTGAGATCATATATTCGAACATTGTTTCTCTAATGCTAAATGAGGAATTGCTTGATGTCTTGTGATATCACTTTCGATAAATATATTCACAGTCATCAAATATCAATCGTTTGTTTTTCTTATACAAATCAAATGAATTGTTACTCCAAGCAATTGTCTTGGTATAAATATCGATTTTAAAAAATTCACAGTAGGAACATCTGCTACCTAATTGATACTGAATTTCAATTATAACTTTATCCAAAACTTTGCCTACAGGACTACCTTCCGTCTAGAGCAGTTACTAAGCAACGTGCTTCTTTCTGAACTTGTTATAAATTCATGTCGTGATTATTGGTGTTCTTGAAATATTACTTCTCAAAACTTATCCTTTCGCCTTAGGGATGATTTGATGAAGTTTCACTCATGAATAAACTTCTGTCCGAGATGAAAGTGACTATGATACATTTTTTGATGGAAGTATCTTTCAGAAAACTGGTGAACTACGAAACTTTTTTGAATACTTATTATAACAATGCTAACATACTACAGTTCCAATGTCATTATCAATATCAGATATTCATTGGTGGATGAATAAGTGAACTGAATGAACAATATTTCAATATTTTTATACTTTTTTTTGGTTTATAACCTTCCACAATCTGAAGAAATCAATAGAGGATCTGCTGAAGTGTAGTAAAGAGCAAACTGAAAAGTTCGCCCTGAAAAGTGACTGCGTAATATAAACTACTGAAAAGTCCAATTAGTAAGTAACTTATCGTATTCATAAATTTGGCTTACAAATTGAAAAAAACAATTGAAAAAATTAAATATTGATACTTAGCTTTCTTAAGTGGTTAACGTTTCGTAAAACAATTCTTTTCCGTTTTCAAAACCTGTATTCACTATAAAAATATCGATTTTAACTATGATATTTCTAATTTCTTTTCAACTGAATCATAGACACTCGATAACACCTTCTCTTTTATTTTTATATCCTGGACCCGGGAGTCTCGCAGGTAGCTGTAGCTGCCTCTGTGGTGATGTTAAGATATCCTAGAAATTCTAGGTCTCCTAATTGAAATTACTAATGTGCGATGGGCTCTGTTGGTGACTCCGTTCGTTTGAGCTGTTTTTTTGTTTTTGGCAACCACGTGTTGCCCAACTACCTACACATATATCAAAAAACAACTACTTTCCTGGCTACTACCATGCTGGATATTAAACTATATTCTACAGACATTCATGCAAGATTCCTCTCAGAGACTAATCTCGCTGATGTTTCACGTTCATCCAGCAGCAGAATGATGCTGAAATTATTCAAGTAGATCACCTCAGACCGCGGTTCCGAGGTATCACCTCTCGTCAGTACATATCCTACGCAGACAGCAAAGTGTCTGGGACTCGATTAATTTCCACTACATAAATAAAACCTGAGAGAAAGATTGTCAACTAGTAACAACTCCATCTTTTGAACAAAGCCCAAAGTGGGGAAGAAACATCACATATACCAAAACTCTAACAGAAATCAAAAGTGAAAACGTCTTGTCTGCGAGACTAGGTCGAGAAAATGTGAATTGCTATGTTTGTCCTGGGCGCCACAGCACATCAACAACCGATGAAAATGTTGAGGAAGTGAGAATGGAGAATTGTCGAATCACTATGAGGGAAGTTGCTGAGAATGTCGGCATATCGGTTGGCTCATGCCGCATGGAACTTTTCGTAAATTTTGGGAAAAATGGATTTGAGTGAGGAAGTTGTTGATTACTCCACCCCATGCTAGAATGCCATAACTTATATGTGGTCTAACAAGAGAGTTGTACAGAATTTCCAATTGCTTTTGATCAAACACCTATTTCAAGAACCTGAACATGGGAATCAATGATCTTATTTTTTTTACAATATGTTCAATGTGGTGATTCCATTTCAATTTGCTATCTATGAATATGCCAATGTATTTAATTTCATCTTTGGATTTTATTTCTATTTCCATATCACCCATATTAATTTTCATAGTTTTGTACATCGGCATGTTTCTGGTATACTGTGCGAAAGGTAGAGAAAAAGTCTTATCTGAATTTATCGTGAGAGTTTTACTGGCAAACCATTCGATAATATTTGGGAAGTCATTTTCGACGATGGTTTTCAATTCAGCCCATGTGTTTGAATGAAGAATAACTACCATGTCGTCAGCAAAACTCACTATGTCACTAGATATATCAAGATTGAAAAGGTCATTTAGATATATATTAAAAACGTGTGGACCGAGGACTGGTCCTTGTGGTACCCCGTATTCCATTGTTTTGCTCAAGCTCATTGTCTCTCCAACCATGACTTTATACTGTCTATTTTTTAGATAGTTTTCAAAGAGTTCATGTGCGACTCCACGAAATCCAATTTTTTCTAGACATTTCAAAAGTTTCTCGTGACAGACAGTATCGAATGCCTCAGTTAGGTCGACGAAAATGCATAGAGAAGGTTTAGTTTTATCTAATTTTTTGTAGATTTGTGTTGTTACATATGCCATTGCATCTTTCGTCGGCATGCGGGTCATAACTGATCACGAATCATCAGTATATGGTAATGAAAACAAAATCAAATATCAAGGTTTTGATCACAGTTTTTTTTATCACCATGTTGTAGTGCATCAGGAGTTCTTGCCACATGCTCGTACGGTCGTCCGGTATTATTTTGAAGTTATGCGTCGCTTGCGAGAAGCAACAACTGATGGCTTTTGCATCACGTGATGCACCAGCTCACTCGTTATTGCTTGTTAGTAAATTTTTGGCCAAAAACAACATCGTAATCATGCCTCAGCTAAAGTCGAAATTTCGAGTTTCAAGTCGAAATGTCTGGTTTAAAGTTGAAATTTCGAGGTGAGAGTCAAAATTCCGAAATTAATATTGAAATTTCGACTTTGAACTGAAAATTTCAAAATTTAAGTCTGAATTTTCAAAAACAAACAATGAAAATATGTGGAGTTTCTGGGCTCCGTAGAAACCGAACTATAAATAGTAATTATTTTTCACCAACCACTCAACTATGTTTCTCCAAATATGAGAAAAATGGCACCAAATCATTCCCTTGACTGATCGGTCGGTAGCCAGGCGGTTCGACGTGGGCGCTTTGTTCATTCACTCGAAATCACTGCCGTGTTGGTCGGTGGTTCAAGCGCTAGTCTGAACAATCGATTTTTGCTTGCTATCGTCTAACCCGTGTTAGGAATCACACGTTAAAAGCTAAGACCTCGCTAATTCTTAGCTCACACAAGTTTCGACTTCTGAGGGTTGTCCTTCGTAGGGGTGCGACAGCTGATTAACGGAAAACAGATTTTAAACAGATTTAAATGAAGTGAGTCAAAGCTTTTTTCCGGGTTTTTTGGCTATGGCCCGAAGGTTTTCATGCCTAACGTTTTGTCTATTACTGCGATGAAGTAACGGTCGAAGTGCTCGAGTTGGTGCTCGAGTTATTGTTTACGTTGTTCCCAATGCAGAAACTATAGTGCTGGTAGTTTACTTGGAAAGCATGGCTTGGAATACCTGACCCAGGAGAGAGAACGCCAAAGTGATCCCAGCTAGGCAAGTCAAGGCTTGAGAGAATCTCAGAAAAACACGACGTGAAACCAATATTTAGGCCAACGAAAACTATCAGAGGACTAAGGTCAGCTAAGGATTCTAGAGAACATTCAGCGAAAACCGGTGTATACCGCATTCCTTCTACCTGCGGGTCGGTCTACATTGGAACCACGTGAAGAAGTATAGGTATAGTCGAAGTAAACGATATCGTGCACATTTGGCAGCACCGCACATGAACCGGCTTCGAACTAGTCTACGTGTACTGTAGAATTGGCGGTTCGTACTGGAT